TTGGAAGTTTGCATGTTCTCCATGTGGTAGCGTGGATTTTCTCCGGGTCCTCCGGTTTCTTCCCCTCCACATATTTAATCAACGCCACGCATTTGGAGCATTCGGCCGCTACAAATTTCCAACACGATGAGCCACTGCGTTGAGTTAAAATTTGCGGCCAGGTCGCTTTTTAAAAGAATCTACACCAGCTCAGAGGCTCCTTCACTGATTAAAAAAAAAATAGCCCAAACAATTGTTTACAGTGAGCAGCGGCCTGTTGATGTTTTGCTGCGGTTTTTGATCATGCCAGTGTCTTCGAGGAGGAGAAATGTCAAAGCCAGGGGGTGCGACGATTGGGTCTCGAATGAGGTGTTTATCCTGGACGTCGGAGCTCCTCCACTCTGCTGGCCAGCGTTCTTCCGGATCCCAGTGAGATGCTAGGATGGTGACAGCGCGATCCCAGAAGGGGAAATTGAGGCTCGAGTAGGCGGCGAGGTGAATTGTTGAGGTCTTAGCTCATGGATATCTGCTGGAAGAATGTTCGCCAGCACAGGGAAGCCAGGGGATTGTTCAAATCGTTGAACTGTTGAAAAGTTCTTACCAATGGATAAAAAAAAACACATGAATTAAATACGCACAAGTCACAACAGTCCCAACCGTACCGAGGAGACCTCTCTCCACCCACACGGCACTCTCCCCCCCTCCCTCCCACATCCCACCTCCTCCCCCGTAATTTTTCAATTAACGGGGAGCGCGCGCACCGAGGCGCGCTCCCGGTGCGCGCGTGCGTCTCTCTCAATGCGAGAGCGGAGGCGGAGATCCCGGGCGCGCGCACGACTCAGGCACGACTGAGACACCTCTCACTCCAGGTAACGTGCTTCACGCGCTCACTCACTCACTCATAAATACAAACACAGCATCACCACCACCACCACGATCATCATCAACCGTGGTCAATCCACTGCTGGATGAAGGCCTCCACCCAGTCGGTCGTCACCTGTCTCTCACGGTTTCTGCGATTACAATCGCATCGAGAGCACACTTGCACGCGGGCTGATTCCATCGCCCCATCGCCTCTCCATCTGCTCCCTAAGACTTCGTCTCCTTCCCTTGGGCTTCCAATCAGCCCGTGGCAGGGGTCGGCAACCAAAAACACAAGAAAGAGACATTTTTTTTTCTTCTTTGGTTCTTTCGGTAAAGTCACGTAGAATGAGAATAAAACAATAAAATAAAATAACAATAAAATTCTCACGACGTTTCGGCCACAACACGTCGTGAGAATTTTATTGTGTTATTTTATTAATTTATTATTTTATACTCATTCTACGTGACTTTACCGAAAGAACCAAAGAAGATGAATCCTTGCAGTCACGAAAGCTTTAAATCGATTTTTTTTGTTTATTTTGAAATTCGGTAACAACAAAACACAACTCAATATTTCAAGAGCCACCAATGCGTGTGAATAACTATGGATGTAAGTTGAACTTGTTTCGCACCGTACGTAGCCAACCGTGCTATTCATATGTTTGTGTCTGTGTGTGTAAGTTCATATCTGTTGGTGTCAGTCATTTCAGCCATTCAGCGCATTGCACCTGGGTCTATCACGTGACCTCCTGTCAGCGAGCCTTCGCCACTTCACGTGGACTCAAAGTGCACCTAGCCTGGCACAAACGCCATGGTGACATCACCTGCAACTGAGTGTGCCCGTATCAATGTGCCTGTGTGTATGTTCCTATGCATGTGTACATACGTGTCCTTATTGCGTGTGCAGATATCTGCGTGTATGCATACGTTCGTGTGTTAGCTGTCTGTGTTGTGTTTCTGCACAAGTGTGTATACGTGTGTATTGTATTTCAGGTGTGTTTATAGATGTATGCGTGTACATATATACACTCACAATATTCAGTCTGTTCTCCTATAACGCGGCATTGTTTTCATAACGCGAATTGGAAATAACGCGACGCATGTATTAGGGAGCACTTTTTTGTTTGATAACGCGGATGCAAATTGGATATAACGCGATTGAGTGAACAGAAACTAAGTTGCACTAGTAAGAATAAACAGGAGCAGACGCAACTCATGCGTTATCGCAGATTGCGCTTTACCCCTGTGTTATATATTATTATTTATTATAACGCGATCTTCCCATAACGCGGTGTTCTTGAGCAACGCAACTACCGCAGCGTTATAGGGGAATAGATTGCATGTGATAAAATTCGTGCATATCTATTCGCTTAAGCCAGTCTTCTGTGTGTATAAGCGTAATTGTACATGATTCCGTTAATGTGGGGTGAGGTAACGTAGTGGCTAGCGCACTACCCTACGTACCCTGGCGACCTCAGTTCGATTCCTGGTCACAGATAACATCGGTTGAAAGCAATAAGAGGTTTTCTGATGCCTCCCTAGATGTCGCCTGAGTCTTTATTCAAGGGTACCTTGTGCGTTGTACAAACATCTGCATCGGTTGGGAGTGTTGCCGGTCTATACAAGCTCGCCACGGTGGCGAGATGTTAACTACCTCACCTGGTATACAGGAGGTAGTGGGTTCGATCCCGACCCTGACGCCTGCTGTATATTCGGAGTTTGCGTGTCTCTCTCCGCGCCGATTTTTCTCTGGGTCGTTCGGTTTTTCCCTCCGCATTTAGAAACCTCGCGTTTAGAGTCTTTGGCTGCTGTGATTTTCCACACGATAAGCCACTTCGTTGAGCTATAGCTTGTGGTCAGGTCGCTTCTGAAATAAAGCTATATTGCTAAGTGGTTTCCATCCCTTGTAAAGTAAAACATTGTTTAGTTTAATAGTTTTAGTACAGGGGGGCTTTGGGTCTCTGTGTCTACGCATATCTGTTGCTGAGATGTACACACAATGGATATGCACGTCTAGTTGTGGAGAGTAGATTCCTATGGAAGTCTGTGCAAGTTGAGCGATGTTTGCGCTTTTGTAGAACCTGAGTTTGATTCTCGCGGTCACGGCTAACACGGGGTTCTCACAGCTGGTTCATCGAATCAACTTCGTGGGCCACCGATCATCACCAACCCGCATTGACCAGCGTGGTGAAGTATGACCTAACAATACCAATGATTAGCACGGAGTGAAGAGGAGTTTATCCAGCAGTGCATTCACAAGGGGGCTTGCGCATTTAAATCTTCACTGGCTGCCGTAAGCCGGTCGGAAGAGTTGCAGACACATCCTTCATCGTGAAATCGCATGGAAAGATCCGCAAATGATTAGTTTTAGAAATTTTCAGATTGTTTGACATCGGTTTTAATTGCAGTTCTAGATTTGAAGCTTTCGTGACTGCAAGGATCCATACTCTTTGGTTCTATTCGGTAAAATCACGTAGGTAAAAAAATTAAACAACAAAAAATCACGACGTTTCGGCCACAACACAAGTGGCCTTCACTTGCAGTGTCTGATGATTTTTATTTAAAAAGTGAAACCTCACGACCACGGCAGGATTCGAACCTGCAATCTTCTGATCCGAAGTCAGACGCCTTATCCATTAGGCCACGCGGCCCCATGCAAATGTCAGCATCCTCCTATGAAGGAGTCGAAAAACGGACGCTTGTGTTGCGACCGAAACGTCGTGTTTTATTTGACTTTATTTTTTTTCTTTCTACGTGACTTTACCGAAAGAACCAGAGAGTATGAGTCTTAAGCATATTAACTAGCCGCCTTCGTCAAGGAGTGGATTGGTCATACGCTGTACATCGTTAAATCGTTCCACAGTATGACAGTGTGTACATCGATACTCCTGTAAATCCCACATCACTCGTTTGTAAGCGCACAGTATACTGGTTGGTGTACGGTACCGTGTGTCGAGACTTAAAGAAGGCTGCACATTTTGGCTCACAATAAACGTGAGCACAAAAACACACACGTCGTCTGTTGGAGGTTACACGCAAATGATAAAAAACAGTCAGATTGCCTATAACAAGGGCATTTTTTTTTTTAAAAAGCCGGGCCCGGGAAGCAAAAGTGAAGTGTGAACGTGACCACGTTTGAGTTCTTGTGACACTTTGTTCCAACTTCGCATGTTTCTAAATGTGGAGGGGAAACCCCGGAGGAGCCGGAGAAAAAGTCCACGTGACCACGGGAAGAGAGTGACATTCACACTCCAAATATACAGGGTGCTTAAAATTTTTTGTTAACACTTAGATGGGACTATTGTTATTAATGGAAACATGGTAACAAATGTATGTTAATCGCTTCCAAAAGTCAAAGAGTCTCCACTTGTTCGCCATCATTGCCAACGCGTGCCCGGAATCAGGTGGTCTCCAGAACGCATTTCTCGTGGCATTGTTGCAAATTCTCCGAAGTGTCTAATCCACAAACTCCTGTATACCAGGCGAGGTAACTAACATCTCGCCGGCAATCGGCTATATATATATTTTTTTAGCTACGCAAGTTCGGCTTTTCAAATGCAAATTTACAAAAGCTTTGCCCGCAATAACGCCAACTGGATCATTGCAGCCAGTGCAGAGGACGTCATCCCACTCCTGAACCACCTCATGGTGGAGCGAGTTATACGGAGCACGCTTGATCACGCCGGTCAGTACGGGTTAAAGGCGAGGAGCGTAGACGGTACAGTCAAATGTATTTTTTTCTTGACGGCACTCTGCTGCAAATAGCGGAGTTCTGCAGCCTTCCACACTGGAGAAAAATCCACGCGACCACGGGGAGAGTGAACATGCAAACTGCAAATATACAGCTGGCGTCAAATCGGTTACAGCAAACTCCCAGGGGTCGTTCATACAACGCTGCATTTTATGTGTTTTTCGTTCAGGATATTCAAATGCAAGAATAATGGTCATCGTTATTTTCCTACAATGCCACCACCTGCTGGCTTAAGGCAGCCAATGACGATACTTGTACGTCAAGGTAAATGTCCATCTCATTGTCAATCCGCTGCTGGATGAATTCGCCCTCCCCCCCCAACTCTGTGCGGGTCGTGGAGATAATTATTTGACCAAACGTCACCACGCTGCTCAGTGCGAGGTGGCGGAGTGGTGGGGGCGGCATAGACACGGGAAAGTACAGCACAACAATGGATTATGCTGCACCACGCTCTGCTGCCCACCACAACAAACGGATCGTGCGTGGCGGTCATCCATATCCGAGCCCTAGCCAGGCACTCGCCAGGCTCAAACACGAGGTCTAATGAGATCGGGCACAGTGCGGACGGCCAAATAGTCCGGGGACGCGTGTATCTATGCGTGAAGTACAACACTCGGTGTATGGAGTCGAAACATTTATGAAGTATGGTTTGTTTCACCGGATGGATTATAGGATGGATCACACCCACGGCCGTGTTCCGAACACTCTTTCAAATTGGCAGCGTCCTGCCCTGCAGATTTCCGCTCCTGTGCTCTCCGGGGGTCTGGATTTACTCCGGCTTGAACCTACGTACAGCGTGTGTTCTCCGACACACCTCTGTGTGAGAAGTCATTCATTATAGTAGTACCACCCCCGTCATTTAGCAATTGCCATGTGGATTTACAAGGCAACGAGATGTGACTGCATGTCAAGACGCCGTGACTTTGCTTTGGCAGTCGGTCCAAAGGCAGTGGAAAAACAGGAAGGTGTTAAGCCTGGAAGGGAGTGGACAGCACGGACTGCTGGGGGAAGGGAAGTGAAGACCGTGGAGGCTGCAGAAGAGAATGACGTCCCACTGAGCGAAGGTTGGCTGGGGACTTCGATACGAAGCCTCGGTTGCAGCAGCAGAATGCGTGGAGGTGGAGGAGAGTGAGATGAGACGGGAGACATAGGAGAGTGCGTGGAGGGGGAGGAGAGTGAGTTGAGTGGGAAGATGCAGCAGATTGCGTGATTAACATTAACTTTGAATGACCCCTTCTTCCCCATCTGCATCTTGTTCATCACATCGACTTTGAGGTCCCAGGGGCAGAACCGCTCACAGCGATGGAGCTGCCTGCGTACCTCATGGCCCTGGCCGGGTGGCTGCTGGCCTGCAGCACGGTCCACCATGAGCAGTGGCGGGTTTCGTCCATCGACGGCACCGTCATCACCACCTCGACCCTCTACGCCAATCTGTGGAAGGAGTGCGCCACCGACTCCACGGGGGTGGCCAACTGCCGAGATTTTCCGTCCCTGCTGGCGCTCAATGGTACGATCCTGGGTGGGGGCTGAGTCCTATCGGCCACTCACAGTACTCATACTCAGGCAGTGACGGACTGAGACACAAATAAATCGGCCCAGGTATTTGTAACCACACCGGCCCGAATTTGTAAATGGGTTCTGCGACAAACTGTGTACCAGCAGCCAGGTTTGTGATGTAAATCTGGCTACGAGTAAACATGTCACGCACATTTTGCCGTGCAATCTCATTGGGTCCATTTCCGGGCTGCTTCCAAAAAACCAAATGGGGCCGCTGAGGAAGAATCTTTTTGGGGCTGCCGAACATTTGGGGATTTCATGCCAACTGAGACCCTAAATAAGCAATGCAGCGTACACATTAGAGGTACTAAAATATTTTAATTTAACTATATTGTGTTTTTTAAAAAAATTACTTGATCGCATTTGCAATTTCCCCACACAGACCGGCCCCCACCGGCCCTCGGAATGATCTGGCCCACCGAGCAATTGCCCTGTGGGCAGTCCGGGGCCTCGACCTAGGCACGCTCACCACTCGGTTTTCGGTCAATGGAAATTTGTATCGCGATTATTCTTATTATCATTGTGCATGTTTTCCCAGGAAAGGCTCACTGAGGCTCGGGACTCATTTGCAGGAGGGTCTGTCTGGTCAAGAGTTGGCAGGAGGGGGGTTGGCTATGTTGCTATGTGTGTGTAATAATAGGGTTTTTTACCTTTTTTTAGGTAAAACAACTGAAACCTTTTTTTACAAGGATTCACGTCTTCATTAACCACAAAACCTGCAGTCAAAATGCAAACAAAAAACAATACTATGATAATATATGATGCATTGTCCTTGAAACTGATTGGTCCACACCAAGGGACGGCTTTCTTTTGAGCCTCGACCCAATTGGTGCTCGACCAGATGACGCCAAAAGGCGTACAGCTCAAAGACAATGCCCTAATTACTTTGATAGTGCATTGTCTTCGAGCTGTACGCCTTTCGGCGTCATCTGGTCGAGCACCAATTGGGTCGAGGCTCAAAAGATAGCCGGCCTTTGGTGTGGACCAATCAGTTTCAAGGACAATGCATATATTATCATAGTATGTTTTTTGTTTGCATTTTGACTGCAGGTATTGTGGTAAATGCAGGCGTGAATCCTTGTAAAAAGGTTTCAGTTTTGTTGCCAGAAAAAAGGGGAAAACCCTATTATTACATTTTGGTACTGGCAAAGGAGGTCTAATGATATGTGTGTGTAATTTCAACTGAGTGATGTAAACTGAATCGTTGAGCATTTTGAGACTGTGAGGTTTAGCGACGACTTGGGGAGGCCTTCATCCAGCAGTGGATAGAGTATGGCTGAAAATGACGATGGAATGATTATGAACGCAAATATTGCGGAAAGTAATTAATTCCATATCAAATAATCACGCAAGCAACCTGCGTATACAAACTACCAGCAATCTGAGAAAAACTTGAACTTCATAGACATTTTTGATATCTAAGCCAACATCAAAACTAAGACTGGTTGCGTGACGAAATAACCTGCTTTCCCTCGTAAAAATGTGAAATTTCCACCACTGACCGACGGCTGAAAACGTTATCCTCATTCGAGCAGGGACACACTGGGGGTTTCAAAACAAGAACACCTGGGACTGAAGTTTCTGCTCAGCAGAGTGCTTGGCTATGATGCAGGGCTGCGTGGCCTAATGGATAAGGCATCTGACTTCGAATCTACATGATTGCTGGTTCAAATCCTGTTGTGGTCGAATATTTCGTAGCTTTTGTAATGAATTACTGTAGCATACGAATTGCATTGCCATGAAGTTAATATTTTCCCATGTTGAAAGGAAATGGGTTAGGGCTCGGTCAGGGAAAGATTCAGTTGAGGGATTATGGTTTTTGTGAGGCAATAGCTTGAGCTCAGTCATAGGGTGTGGTTAAATATAAGGTCATGTTAGTTGGGGTTAGGTTAGGCAGGGGGTTGTGTTGGCTTTAGAGAGAGGGGTGAGTAATGCGTTTAAGGGTCGAGTGAAAAGTTAGAGGTTTAACAAGATGTACGGATGAGAGTTAAGTAAGAGTTCAGTGTGAGATGATGGTCAAGGAGGTAAATATGAAAAGGTTTTAACAACTGTTTCACTATGCTGTGCAATCGTAAAACAAGCCTCTGGAACAGCTTAGACCAGGTCGGTCGACAATCTGCGTCTCAGGAGACGCATGCGGCAGCTCTTTGTCTGCCCTCTTGCGGGCGGCAGTAAAAAGTAGAGAATAAAAGCTTAAACAATTAAACTTTAAAATAATGTAAAAAATCTGGCAGGGAATGGGTGACTATTGAATGACTTGGGGACGACAAACTGTAGAGTCAAACTGAATTGTTAAAGAATAACTAAGGGGTGGGGGACTAAATAGACACAATGTATTCCATCACCTATTGTGTTTATTTAAGTTAGAATTTGTCAACTGCAGTATACCTGCAGTGTTTGTGTACAAGTAGCTCTACGTATTTTAGTAAAAAGACAGGAGTACAAAAAATGTCTCTGTCTTCTTTTAAAGGTTGCCACCACCTGACTCACACTTCAAGATTTAGTCGTTGAACCTTGCTCTCCTTGCTCAAAAGAACAATGTAGAAGTGATATCATCATTGGGTGTCCTAAACCAGCTGGCATAATTGTAGATGCATTGAAACGGTTGTTTGTTAAGAATTCGATTGTATTGAATAGGCAAGAGAGAGGAGTGTGAGAAACGATTTCTTATCTTGGTTTGAATTGCATTGGAAGAAAACACAGAAACTGTAAAAAGGCAATAGGGTGAGCTGAGTAATACGGTGCAGTTCAGGGTACGGTCATATTATGTGGGGTCAGAGTTAGGTTAGAGGTTAGGAGTTCGACAGGAGGTTGTCTTAGGGTTAGGGTGAGCTAAGTAACGTGTTGTTGGATAAAGTGAAGGGTTCGAGGTTTAGCAAGATGTACGGATCAGAGTTAGCTAAGAGTTTAGTGTGAGATGATTTCAAGTAGGAAAATATGGAGATGTTATAATACCTTTTTCACAATGATGTGCATTAATAAAACAAACCTCTGTAACGGCATGGACTCACACTCCAAGATTTAGTCGCTGAACCTTGCTCTCCTTGCTCAAAATAACAATGTAGAAGTGATATCATCATTGGGTGCCCTAAACCACGTGGCATAATTGCAGATACATTGATATTGTTGTTCGTTAAGAATTCGATTGTATTAAAATGGGCAAAAGAGATAAGAGTGAGAAACGATCTGGATCTTTGTATTAATTGCATTGCAAGAAAACACAATAACAGTAAAAACACATCAGCTTCAATCCGCCCACGGCAGGATTTGCACCTACAACCATCTTTATACAAAGTCAGACGCCTGATCCATTAGGCCACGCGGTCAAATCCATCTGCAAAAGGGCTTCTAAGCTATACTTTTATGTGAACCTTCAACTAAACTCCCCCAGGGGTTTGTGATGGCCTTTACCAGGTTTCGGAATGAAATAAGTGCGCGCCCGCTGTGGTTATGTGGATATCCCACCACTCACTGAAAGCTCAAAATGGTTTCCTCATAGTAGCAGGGATACACTGTGGTTTCTAAAGAAGAACTACAGACTCTCAAGACTCTCCTCAGGAGGGTGCTGCTCTACCATGCAGGGCCGCGTGGCCTAATGGATAAGGCGTCTGACTTCGGATCAGAAGATTGCAGGTTCGAATCCTGCCGTGGTCGAATATTTAGTTTTACACTACAGGAATTACTGTCACATTGAATTTTCACGAAGATCATATTTTGCAAATTGTTAGGGAAGCGGTGAGGGGTCGGTCAGGGAAAGATTCAGTTGAGGGCTTATGGTTTGGTGAGGCAATAGGGTGAGCTGAGAAATACGGTGCAGTTCAGGGTACGGTCATATTATGTGGGGTTAGAGGTTAGGAGTTTGACAGGAAGTTGTGTTAGGGTTAGGGTGAGCTAAGTAACGTGTTGCAGGATAAAGTGAGGGGTTCGAGGTTTATTAAGATGTACGGATCAGAGTTAGCTAAGAATTTAGTGTGAGATGATTTCAAGTAGGAAAATATGGAGATGTTATGATACCTTTTTTCAAAATGATGTGCATTAATAAAACAAGCCTCTGTCACAGCTTCGACTCACACTTCAAGATTTAGTCGCTGAACCTTGCTCTCTTTGCTCAAAAGAACAATGTTGAAGTGATATCATCATTGGGTGCCCTAAACCACGTGGTATAATTGCAGATACATTGATATTGTTGTTCGTTAAGAATTCGATTGTATTAAAATAGGCAAAAGAGAGGAGTGTGAGAAACGATCTGGATCTTTGTATTAATTGCATTGCAAGAAAACACAATAACAGTAAAAACACATCAGCTTCAATCCGACCACGGCAGGATTTGCAATTACAACTATTTTGATACAAAGTCAGACGCCTGAACCATTAGGCCACGCGGACAAATCCATCTGCAAAAGGGCTTCTAAGCTATACTTTTATGTGAACCTTCAACTAAACTCCCCTAGGGTTTTGTGATGGCCTTGATCAGGTTGCGGAATGAAATAAGTGCGCGCCCGCTCTGGGTATGTGGATATTCCACCACTTACTTAAGGCTCAAAATGGTTTCCTCATACTAGCAGGGATACACTGTGGTTTCAAAAGAAGAACTACAGAATCTCAAGCCTCGCCTCAGGAGGGTGCTGCTCTACCATGCAGGGCCGCGTGGCCTAATGGATAAGGCGTCTGACTTCGGATCAGAAGATTGCAGATTCGAATCCTGCTGTGGTCGAATATTTACTTTTACACTACAGGAATTACTGTCACATTGAATTTTCACAAAGTTCATATTTTGCAAATTGTTAGGGAAGCGGTGAGGGGTCGGTCAGGGATAGATTCAGTTGAGGGCTTATAGTTTGGTGAGGCAATAGGGTGAGCTGAGAAATACGGTGCAGTTCAGGGTACGGTCAGTTTATGTGGGGTCACAGTTAGGTTAGAGGTGAGGAGTTCGACAGGAGGTTGTGTTAG